GACTGCAGGGATTCATCTTCTTGGTTTTTTCGGTAAAGTCACGTAGAAGGGAAATAATAAGATAATAAAAATAGAACATAATAAAATTCTCACGACGTTTCGGCCACAACGCAAGCAGCCGTCCTCAGGTGAAGAACAGAGCTGTCGGAAAGACAACATCCTAATGAACACTGCTAAGCTTGGCAGCGTATTTTAAGCTGGGTGGGAGGAGGCTCAAAGTTACGTGGAAACCCTCCCCATAGAGGCGGTTAAATTTCAATTTAAAGCTTTCGTGACTCTAGGGATTCATCTTCTTGGTTCTTTCGGTAAAGTTACGTAGAAGGGAAGTAATAAAATAATAAAAATAAAACATAATAAAATTATTCTCACGACGTTTCGGTGTGATTGAGGACGGCTACTTGCGTTGTGGCCGAAACGTCGTGAGAATAATTTTATTATGTTTTATTTTTATTATTTTATTACTTCCCTTCTACGTGACTTTACCGAAAGAACCAAGAAGAAGACTGATACTGTTCAGCCACACTCTGGCCGGCCACCACACTTCTTGCAAGTTCACTACACTTTGTTGTTCTGCCCCTTTCCTTTCACCGTTCCATTTGTCCCTCTCCCGGAGTTCCCGTCACCCTTTGCTCGATTCAAGAAACGTTTAGACCCTTCAGTGAGTGCCGTTTGTTGCCGGTCGCCCGGCATTTATTCTTTTTAAACCTTTCCTTGCCAAAGCTCGCCAACCGTGAACACATAGAAATACAAGCCAGGCCCCAGCCCTGCTCTGCTCGGCCCGTGAGATCTGACAAGGTGGCACTCTGATCACGTGTTACCCCCCCCCCCCCCTCCGCAGGTTTCCAGCAAGATGCCTCAGGAGGGAACGATAGACGACATAGACATGGGTAAGTCCTCGGCGCCCCGTGCTCGCTTCTCCGGCTCTAGCTGTTCCGGCTCTTCCGGTTTTGCCACCGCGCGTGGCGGCACACGATTGATCGTTTTCCGAAGGACCGTCTGCCATAAAAAGCCTGGCATTGGGATGCTTGGAATGAGATGAGCCTTACAAATGTGAATTTTTAGTTTAGTATGAAAAATAAGAATAGGTTTTACTCTTTCGAGCAATAAAACAGGAAGTGTTAAGATGTTCAAATACTAAATAGATACCTTTTGCAAGGAATCAAGTCTGCATTAACCACACAGTACTTGTGGTGAACATGCAAACAAACGCGCTCTGATAATATACGCCTTGTCTTTGAAACTGATTGGCCTACACGTGGTGTTCAACAAAAGGTCTCTTTATTGATGACCCAAAGAGATTGATCATGGCTTATGATGATGATAATGATCTTTTTTTCCATTTCCAAAATTATTTTATCAAGCAAACAATTCAGCTCCACACAGAGGGGCATGTATGGGGATGATGATTGTGATGATGATGATATTTTAATATTAAACAAAGCAAGCTCACATGCGACAGTTTACCGTCACGCGAACGAGCGCAGCTTCACGTTAAGCCTGCCCTCGCCCCCGCCAGATGTGCCGCTAATCTACACGGATGAAGACGACGTCGCCGAGAGAGGGCACGCCGACGCGGGCTACACGGAGGCCACGTCGCAGACCGAGCCCGTCTCGTCGGGCCTGTCCCCCTACGCCGACTACGCGCCCGCCAACGACGCCCACCCGGCTGCCAACGGCGTGGCCGGCGCGTACGCCGACACGGCCGAGGGCGTCAAGGCGCCGGCGTGCGAGCCGTACGACGACGCCTCGCTCGGGGATGGCTCGGAGGAGGGCTCTGCCGAGCGGTTTGGCGACGCGGCCGAAAGCGAGGGCGACAGCGACCGTGGCAGCGGCGACGGTAACGGCGACGGTAACGGTGCCCGCCCGCGCTCCGAGTTGCCGCAAGCCGACGACGAGCCTCCGGCCGGGTCCCTGGCGGCCGAGCCGGCGCCGGCAGGGGCGTGTGGCGCCGCCGAGGAGAGGGCGGCTTTCGCCGCGATCGCGCCGGAAGCACCGGCTGAGCACCGGCAGCAGCAGCAGGCGGCGGCTGGTTCCGCCATGCAGCTGCACGGCGACGGATGCGGCGTGGACAACTCGGACGGGTTCATGGGGAAGGAGCCCTACGTGACGCAGCACGCTATGCAGGTGGGCTTCACGCGACGGGCCCTCCCATCCTCGGCAACTCTGCCGATGCGCTTTTGGGTTGTGCTGCATCTCGCTCGGCACAGATAACCGTTGTTTCGATCCGCGTACAGGAAGCTTCTTGGGGACTTCCAAACTTTTTGTTGTATTTTTTGTTGTTGTTGTGACTTGCTGACCTCATGCGCCTCCGGGACATCTGTGAAAAAGAGCTTCGTAGCCGCGTCGGATTTCTCCTACGGTCTAAATAAAGATTCTGATTCTGACGTTGAGATCGTGCCAATCAACCCAGTGACACTTAAGAAACCCAATACAGCTCGACCAACGAGAGCCCACACGGTTCCCACTTGAGTTGGGATTCGGCACCGACGCGTCAAACACTTGCCTGACGGTGGTGGTGGTGGCGGCGGTACCGTCGCTTTTCACCCAACAGATGCATCCCGCGCCGATCCTGCACCAGACTCTTCCGCCCGCCTTTCAACAGAGCCTCGGCGTGGTGTCGCCAATGCTCCCGCCGGGCGCAGAGCTGCAGCAGGCCAGGCCGTCCGCCCTGGGCGCCGTTCATAGGCCCCAGCGGCCCATCCTGGTCATGCCGTCATTCCACATGTCTAGCAACCAGCTGCCGTTTCTGCAGCACGGGTAGGCTCTTTCTCGGGACGCGTGTGCACGTGGAATTCTAAGCGCGGAGTGAGCGTATAAAACTTTCAGTGGTGCATGTAGTTGCCCGCCAACGGCACCAGCCTGTGCTGGCTACAAAAGGAATCTTTGTTTGGTGTGTTGTCAAAATCGGAAGTGGTGGTGCTGTGATTAGTGCACCGATACCTAACCCGATGGTCTCGCTTCGATTCTCGGGCGCTGCTAACGTCAATGGTTCCGAATATCTGAACCCCGCTCCTGGCAGTTCAAATATCAGACGAGTACCCGGTGTGGTGTGGAAACGTCATCAATGGGGAGACAAAGGCGGCTGGGGTGGTGTGCTTGCTACATCACCGACTCGAGTGTTGTGCTGGTTTTACACCATTGGAACCTCATTTGCCAGTAAAAATATGATAATTGGTTTTTACCCTTCTATCTGGCAACAAAACTGACACCTTTTTTTTTACAAGGAGTCGTGTTTACATATACCGCAATACCTGCAGTCATAATGCAAACAAAAAACATAACTCTGATAATGTGCACATTATCAGAGATATGTTTTATATAATGTGCACATTATCAGAGTTATGTTTTTTGTTTGCATTATGACTGCAGGTATTGTGGTCTATGTAAACATGACTCCTTGTAAAAAAAGGTGTCCGTTTTGTTGCCAGATAGAAGGGTAAAAAACCAATTGTCGTGCTGGTCTTAATAGGCGCTCGCTAACAGCACTCATCCCAGAGCCTGCGGAGGCTTTGTTAGTGTGTTGTTTCTTCACCGCTTGCGTGTGTGGAACCAGGGCTTGTCTCCAGATGCTGCCCCACGCGATGGGCCTCTCCGGGATCAGCGTGCCCCCTGGGTTCAGCGTCCGGCCGTCGACCGTCAGCCGGCGCCACTCGGCTGTCCTCCATGCACGCAGCGGGTCCTGTACCGCTAATGACCAACGGCCCTCCCAGCGCGAGTGCCGCTGCTACCGCCGCTTCTGTCACTGCTGCTACTGCTGCGGGCACCGGCGGTGGTCACGAGGGGGCGGCACTTTCGAAAGGCTCCCCTGTTGCCGTCGGCGGTGGGGGTGGCAGCGGCGGCAGCGGCGACGCCCGCCGTGCCTATGCTGCACGCGGGGAGTGTGTACGAAGTGCGGGTTCCCAAGCAAGGCCTTGATTCCCTGGATGCATTCACGGACGGTGAGCGAGCGTGCCGCTTTATTTTATTTTATTTTTCCCTTCGTTTCCAATTTTATTCAAATCGTTCTGTTGGTGTCACATCACCTAAGGCGAAACGTCGTGAGAATTTTATTGTTTTATATTTGTATTATTTTATTCTTTCCCTTCTACGTGACTTTACCGAAAGAACCAAGAATATGTTGTAGAACAGTGAAGTGATGTCATTCCAAACCGGTTGTGTTTTAGAGAGTAAACCAACAAAAAAGATTAATGTTGCGTCTTTGTTCTCCACCGGTGTGCTGTACTAGTAATGAATTGGCACGTTCTGTTTACGTGAAACACCTTACTAATTGGCTGTGTCGGGTGGTGGCGGGTTTAACGACACGTTTTCTATTTCCGAGATCTAACCCACAAAAAAACCTCTTGCGGATTGTTTGCTGGAGTTGATGATCACAACAATGGGGGTTATTTTTCTTGTCTCTCTTCAACAGGCGCATATCCCCTGACCGCGACTCGGGCAAAGGAGTTGCCAAAGGAGTTTGGCGTGCAGGGAGCCGCAACGTCCTTTGGCGCGGCAAGCGTTGGTGCCAAGCACCCACCCATTAACGTCAGCGTAAGGACAATTCTTCCCCTGTTTGCCCTCCTCACATTTTGTCTTTGCGTATATGTTGAACTTCGTACACTCCGTTCGTAGCCAGCTGTGCTAATACTGGTCCGGGTGAAGGACAACAAACTGATCACAATGAGCAGTTCTAAAGAAAATGAGTTTTCAATCTAGATGATTTTAAAGTGGACAGCTCCAGTGGCCCAACAGCGGCTGTGACAATGAACACGCTGCCGCCGAGACCAGTGCAAGACATTATTACGTAAGTTTTATCAGGGCAAATCCATGCCAGATGGGTCAATGGGAGGTCATGCTCGTTGCTAATGAGAAGTAGCATTTGAAGCCTTCCAGATTATTGATTGGGTGCAGCGGCGGCGCCGCGGTTAGTGCACCGTGCTGGGTTCTGTTCCTGACCGCAGCCCAGCAGATTTGGGAATTTCGCAATTGTGCCTGATCCAACGATCCTTGCTTCCGATTCGTCGGATCGCAGGCATGAACCACCGTGCCCAAGTAACATTTTCTTTACTTCCCTGCCAGTATTTTCCATAGGCATTGGTTTAGCTGGTAAACTCTGGCCCAATTTTGACTGGCGGGCTCATCATCAGAGTCAGCTATGTAAAAAAAACCTGCTGCTAGGTTGCTTGATGTTATTACCAAGACAATTTTAGGTAAAACCTGGAGACCAAATTTTTCGATTTAAAGCTTTCGTGACTGCAGGGATTCATCTTATTGGTTCTTTCGGTAAAGTCACGTAGAAGGGAAATAATAAAATAATAAAATAATAAAAATAAAACATAAAATAATTCTCACGACGTTTCGGCCACAACGCAAGCAGCCGTCCTCAGGTGAAGACCAGGTCTGTCAGGGAGACGGCGTCTGGTCTTCACCTGAGGACGGCTGCTAACCTGGAGCCCGTTCATTTAGCGAGTACCTGGTACTATTTTGGCCACGGGAGATTTTATCATTGAGCCGAACAACGCAAACGGTTTCGAAGTCTAAAACCCAAAACGAGCGATCCAATGTGCACCGCCTCACCTTCGTGGCCGCGTCCGTAACGTTTTGAATCGCCCTGTGCGGTGGTGGCGGCAACTCGGCAGGGCTTGGCGAGGCCAACGAGCACGGCGGGGTCTGCTGCGTCGCTCGTCGCTCAGCCCAAGAAGTCGGAACCGTCGTCGGAACTCTTCCCGAAGATCAAGCGGGCCGATGGGGCTCCCCCCGGGGACGCCTTCCGCCCGCAGAGGAAGCCGGCCGAGACGGCGGCCGACGGGTCCCACATGAAGAGGAACGCGGCGGCGGTGGCAGACGTCCACGGATCGATGGCGGCGGTGGACGGGTCGATTCTGTCGCTCGTTCGGAACCCGTTGGAGAGCACGCACGAGTTCAGGCAGGCCTGTCACCTGTGCTTCCCAGGGGCAGGTACAGAGAACGGTCCCAACAAGTCCCCGTGCTGCGTGTGCGCGTGCTTGTGTGTGTGTGTGCTTGGGAAGTGGGAGAGTAGCGGTTAGCGCGCTGCGCTACGAAGCTGGCAGTTACAATTTTCTGAACTGGTACTGGGGCGCCCTTAGGTCGACTCGGCCTTAAAATGAGTACCTGGTATGGTATGTAAACATTGTCATAGGGGAGATGAAGGTGACCGGGCTTGCTGCTGGCCACCCACCCCCTCGTGCGCCATTCCGGCTTTCATAGGTGCTCGCTAATAGCACTTTCCCCTACAGTCTGTGAAGGCTATACGGGAGATCTTTGTCTTGTACCCGCATGTCCAACCACCACATGCCCAAGCAGCTTCCGTGCAGCCTGGTAGATAGGGCTAAACGGGTGCATCACGGTCGAGAGAAGAGATGAATGATGTAGAGTTGATTAGACTTGCCGATGACACCTGATACCTACCGGTACTGTCAAAAGCGGCCTCTGTGGAGGACGCTGTTGGGGAGTTAGTTGGAGGCAGTCGCTCTCCTGCAACAACAGAGGGTAGAGGAGCAATGTTCACAACAATGAGCTGAGCACAGGGTGGCTAAAACTCAGCAAGCTGGTACGGTGGGGAGCAGAGGTGGTGCATGTGCCAATCATCTCAGTCCGCCCATGGCACCAGCTCGGTCTGTCAGCGGGCCTTCGACACTTCACGTGCCCTGAAAGTGTGCACCTAGCGTGGCACAAGTGCCGTGGTGACGTCACCGCCACTTCGTGGTGAACGGTAGTTGTTGTTGTGTGTGGAGACCCACACAGATCATGGATTTTTGGTGGAGTCCCCAAAAATAATAAGAAGAATTGGACAAAAAATGTTAAATCTCACTCCCAAATCTCAAAAACGTAATGTCGGTGTCTCGTGCCGAACAGAAATGTCACGTTCCAGGCAGTCTCCCGGTCTAGTGCTGTACTATGCACAATCCAATGCTTGAGCATCGGATTGTGTATCATGATTTTCGATGGTTCCGTTGGTGTATTTTTTTTCCCTATTCCATATATATATTTTCATGACATAAAATTGACAATTGAATTACATTGAAATGCAAGTTGTCATGGAAATAAATGTTTTTCTCATAGAAATAACCAATTTCCGTTCATAAAATGGACTTTCCAGGGCACTCAAATTCTGTATTAGCTCCGTATCCCAGGGACACACTCTAAACTCAAATTTGTAAAACTCAACATACGTCACAAACAAGTGCCCTAAAACTGACAACAATATTAAATTTCAGAATATATAATGGCAATGTTTTCCTTCTGCAGATTAGAAAGAACAATGCAGCGAGCAATGGAAATTTCCGCTTAACGATGGGCACCCGATTTGGGGCGTCGTTAATTCACCGTCACGAGCGTTTTCGTTATTTGACGCACACCCACTGCAGACGACAATGTTTTGCCCTGTTTTTGCGTGACGCAGATCGCTCTGCGTGCAACACGGAGCACAAGTGCAAGAAGGACTTCCTCCTGTGTCGACTCAAGTCCATGCCCAACAGACAGTGGCAGAAAGTGAGGCCTAGGCCCATGAAAAGCTACAGTGGAGTCTACATGCTTTGCAAAGGTGTGCATTTTACACAAAGGAAAAATTAACCCGTAAAAACAAAGTTTTTCACTATAAATCCTTTATATGCGTGGCATCGGTTTTATTTTATTATTCATTTCTGTTTTTTCTTGAGTAAGAGTTTCATTTTTATCACATTGGTATTTTAAATTAAATATGAAATTTCTTTTTCCTAAAAAGTGGAAAATTTTGGAGAAAAAAATTTCACGAAAATAAATTGTCACGCACAACGAGTCTGTTTGCAAAATGTCAGCTCGATTGGATCACGGGAAGTGGGTTAAAACACGACCGAAAGATTTGCACGGTCGTAAGCGCGCAAGCAAGAAAGTGAACTTAATATAAAGGATTTAAAAATATCTCCCCGCCCCCCCCCCCCTTGTGTAGCCTTAACAGACTGTTGGGGCAAATGCTGTTAACGAGTAGCACCACTCTATGAACGCCCGGCACGGCACGCGAAGGGTCTGGGTGACCAGCACCACGCCCGGCTGCCTTTGTCTCCCCTGTGGCGATGTTTACACACCGTACCAGATCCTCATTTTCAGAATCAGAAAGGGTTTTATTCGCCATGAAAGTTCGCACAGACAAGTAATTTACTTTGGCCGGAAGGTGCATACATTCAACATGTAGTAATCTTAAATCTTAAATTAACGGGGTTTACAAGTCTAACTATACTAAAGGTACAAGTCTAACTAACACTAAGGAGCTAAAGTATGTAAAAATTGAATAAAATAAAATCTAAAATATACAACAGCTATAATATACAATATAAAATTACAAAAATGCAAATAGGGTAACATAGTGCAAATATGGCAAGGTGTCATTGTGCAGATATTGTGTTAAAGTCAGTTTGAGTGTTAAAGTCAGTTTGAGCGTTAAAGTCAGTGTGAGTGTTAAAGTCAGTTTGAGCGTTAAAGTCAGTTTGAGCGTTAAAGTCAGTTTGAGCGTTAAAGTCAGTTTGAGTGTTAAAGTCAGTTTGTTAAAGTCAGTTTGAGCGTTAAAGTCAGTTTGAGCGTTAAAGTCAGTTTGAGCGTTAAAGTCAGTTTGAGTGTTAAAGTCAGTTTGAGCGTTAAAGTCAGTTTGAGTGTTAAAGTCAGTTTGAGTGTTAAAGTCAGTTTGAGCGTTAAAGTCAGTTTGAGCGTTAAAGTCAGTTTGAGCGTTAAAGTCAGTTTGAGCGTTAAAGTCAGTTTGAGTGTTAAAGTCAGTTTGAGTGTTAAAGTCAGTTTGAGTGTTAAAGTCAGTTTGAGTGTTAAAGTCAGTTTGAGCGTTAAAGTCAGTTTGAGCGTTAAAGTCAGTTTGAGTGTTAAAGTCAGTTTGAGTGTTAAAGTCAGTTTGAGTGTTAAAGTCAGTTTGAGTGTTAAAGTCAGTTTGAGCGTTAAAGTCAGTATGAGCCCCTGGCCTTGTTGAAGAGGCCAGCAGCGGATGAGTTCTGAGTCGACCTAGGGGAGGCTCAGGACCAGATCAGATAATCGTCAGTGGTGTTTGGTGGCCGTGAGCGGGAATCGAACTCGGGTCGCCGGGTTCGTAGGGCTGCGCACGCTAACCGCTGCACTGCCGCTCCCCAGTATTTTACACACACGCATTGGCGCGCACGTCATTTTACAAGGACCTGAAGCCATCAGTGGTATGCGATGCCAAAAAGGGCCTTCACTTGCTCTTGTTTTAATTGTTATGCTCATGCAGGGCAGAAGGGGTATAGGGGGAGACGCAGGGTGAGAGGGAAGGATGTGGTGGAATGTAAAATGACGACAGTGGATGTGAGTAGTGAAGAGACAGAGAGGAAGTAAATTGAGAGCAGAAATCCGAGCAGCCCTACCCCATCCAATTATGGGATTTCTGGCTTAGAAAATGTTTTAAGTCTACAGGTCTCTGTGTATGAATCATAGAAGTGTATGTGAGACTATGGATCTGTAATAACACGCTGGAGACGGCTTGTAGAATCGGTCCTTTTATTTCACTTCCTTTGCAGTTTACAAACACTCCCCGTTGCTGGCAGGCAACGGGAAGCGGGCAGACAGCCACCAGAGGCACACCACCACGTGGCACCCGGAGCCCCACTTGCGCGTGGCCTCTCTCTCTCTTAGTTCCGTGTCTGACCCCGTGTCTCTCCTCTCTCCCCTTATTTAATGCCTGGGTCACGTGGTACACTCCAGCAAATCCTCAATAGCCTGCGCCGAATGTTCCAGATCCCCCCATCAACTCCCGGGACCACGCCCCTGACTTGTCTTCCCATTGGCTGAGGCCAAGACCAATGAAACCAATCACCTAGCTGACATCCCGTGATCACGCCGAGGCCATGCTCCCAGGCTCTCCCCCCCATTGGCTGTAAAGCGGGACCGGCAAAGCCGATCACCCCGTGGATCCGACATAGGCTCTTATTACAGATCCTTAAGGAAGTCCGTTGTTATCTTCTGAAGTATATTGATCTTGTAAGTGTATGTGGGCCCATGGGGTCTGTACGTGCGTAGTGGCAGTGTAGTGGTTTGCACTTTGCGCTACAAACCCGGTGACCCGAGTTCAATTCCTGCTCATAGTCAACACCAGTGACAATTATCTGAGCCTCCACTAGGTCGACTCAGCCTGAAAATGAGTACCTGGTACAGTGTGTAAACATCACCACTATGGAGATGAAGGCGGCCGAGCGTGGTGCTGGCCACAGCCTACCCCCTCGTGTGCCATACTGCCCTTTTTAGGTGCTACTTTCTAATAGCACTTGCCCCAAAAGTCTATTAGGGCTACACGTGGGAGGGGGGTGTCTTTGAATGTGAGTCCTTTGTGTAAGGATAATGGATGTAACTCGAGAAGAGGCTCAGAATAGAAGCACATGGGGAGAGAAAATCTGAGCCAATTGACCCCATCGAATAATGTGACTGGCTTGGACGCCCTTAACCTACGTCCCAATCACCCTGGAGTACACGCTTGATCTCATCGGGTCGCAGAAGATAAGTTGGAATGAGCCTGCGTAGTCCTGGGATGGGTGAACCACAACTCAGGTTGTCGTAGGCGGCTGCCAGGCAGTGCTGTGTGGGGTCGGCACCGGGCAGTGCAGCAACGAGTGTTCTCGTTCGTCAAGCTCGCCTGTGAAGTAACGACTTCAACCGAGAAAAATGTAGAAGCGGGGAACGTCTTGGTTAAACGCTCGGCGCGTGTGATTTTGGCAAATTGAGTTTGGGCCGTTGGTGATTTAAGTTGACGAAGCTTCAATTCGTTGAAAGTGTGAACAACACGCAGCTTTTATACTTTGTTATTGATGTGTGGTCAAAACATAAGATGCACATTAGCTGCTACTCCGAAACATCATCTTCATCTCTTTGGTTAAACGCGCAGCTTGTTCAGCACTACATCGGAAGTCCCACCGAGCTATTTAGGTATTTTTTTCCAAAAGTGACATGGCTATCACAAATGATAGCTCAACGAAATGGCTTAGCGTGTGTAAATTTACAGCAGCCAAATACTCTCAACCTGCGACGTTCATTCTAAATGTGGAGGGAAAAACCCGAGGACCCGGAGAAAAGTCCACGTGACCACAGGGAGAGTTAGAGAGACACGCAAACTCCAAATATACATTCGGCGTCACTAGCGTCATGATCCAACTCTCACCACCTCCTAAATACCGGGCGACGGAGCTAACATCTCGCCACCGTCATCTTCTCCTCGCCGTACGTTCACACCCCCCCCTCCACCTTCCCCCACCGCCGCACGCACACAGACATCGTGCAAGGGGAGGAGTGCCGATTCGCGGGACACTGCACCTTCGCGTACAGCCAGGAGGAGATCGACGTGTGGACGCAGGAGCGCAAGGGCACGCTCAACCGCAACCTGCTCTTCGACCCGTTTGGCGGCGGCGGCGGTGGCGGCGGTACCGGCGGTGGCACCGGCGGTTTCGGCGGAGAGAACTCGCTTCAGGGCAGTGAGGGCGGCGACTTCTCGGTGGCCGGGCTCCTGCGTGCGCACGGTGGCATGTTCATGTTCTACTGTGAGGTGAGTGCGTGTAGGGGGGTGGGTTTTGGGGGCTTTTTTTGGGTTCTTCAGTGTCGTGTCGCGCCACAGACGATCCGCTGGGAACTCTCGCGCCCGAGAGTCTTGTTGTTGTCGTGTTGGAGAGAACGGCCCTCGGAACTGGCGAGCGCGGAGCTACCGCGGAGATCTCCTTCAAGTGTGTGACCCCCTTGCGGGTTCACGCAGTCGGGTAAAATCAATGAAAATGGGGTATGCCGGTAGCATAAAAAATGGGATGTGATAGAGCAAATCTGAGATCAGATGGAATTGGCACCCTGAAATTAGTCTAAAACAGCTGCAAAAGTCGAGGCCAAAAAAAAATATTTTTTTTGTTGACCAGTGCTATCGAACAAAGGTGGTCACAGCATTGCGCGCTTTCGGATGCGTTTCTGCTACCGTCTTGAATGCTCTTCCTTCCGATATTAGGAAGCCACTGGAGCTAAGCAATTTTTCAATCTAAATCCAAAACTCAATTCTTCAAAACAGCTTTTTGTGTTTAGTTTGTTGTCCTACCCCTGCACCTACATAGTCACCGAAATGGGTTTCCTACCGAGTTTTACCTGCGTGCGCAAATGTTTTCACTTCTGTCTTGGCCGATGGTGAATGACGCTGGGAAAATTAAGTTTGGTCTCAACAGTGCCGCCGCCGCCACCACCGTATCGCCTCGTTCCAGGGTTTGGTCGAGCGGCGGAACGCGCGACGATGTCGACCCAGTTTTTTCGTGGCCATCCACGAAGACCTCTAATCTCTCGCACTACCTGCCCTGCACTACCCGCACACCCCCTCACCCAGGAATGCTTTGACAAGAGGCCCCGGGTGATAAGCAAGCGAAACAAGGAAGCGCTCAAGTACTGCACCCACAACCCGCCGCATATCTTCGATGAAAAAAAGTACGCCGCTCTCCTCGCGCCCTCGTACACAGCCTGCGGCCCTGTACAGTCTTCGCCGCGGTCATCGCTGGCAACTTTCGTTCCCGTGGCGAACTGTCGGGAGTAGTCTTCTTGGTTCTTTCGGTAAAGTCACGTAAAAGGGAAATAATAAAATAATAAAATTTTAACATAATAAAATAATTCTCACGACGTTTCGGCCACAACGCAAGCAGCCGTCCTCAGGTGAAGAAAACAGGTCTGTCGGAAAGACAGCGTCTGAATGGGCACCACCAGGCTTGGCAGCGTATATTTAAGCTGGGTTGGAGGGGGGAAGGGGCGCCTTGACAAAGGACTTTGCATCTCAAGAGGAATTTAGCATATTTATGGGAAATGCAGATATGGGATTAGTCACTACTTGTGGAATGCGTAGGAGGTGGGGGGGGGTTTCAATGCAATATTATGCCCGTGCATTGGGCAGTATGCAGGATTAGCAGCATCAAAGGGAGGGAGTAGGGTTAGCTTTCGTGACTGCAGGAATTATTCTTTGGTTCTTTCGGTAAAGTCACGTATAAAGATAAAATAATAAATAAAATAATAGCATACTACGACGTTTCGATTGCAACACAAGCAATCATCAGGTATAAAAGAAATAGCAACAAAAATCTAACCAGAAAACTATAGACAGACATATAAGCAGACAGACATCACAAAGATACACAGAGAGAGAACACGTATCGGCACAAAGAGAGAGGTCGTCTCTGTGACGGGGCCTTAAATATAGAGAGGGGGCGGGGGCGGAGAGAGGGAGGGGGCAGAGAAAAAATTAGCATGTCAATGAGTGGTTAGATTTTTTGTTGCTATTTCTTTTATACCTGATGATGATTGCTTGTGTTGCAATCGAAACGTCGTAGTATGCTATTATTTAATTTATTATTTTATCTTTATACGTGACTTTACCGAAAGAACCAAAGAATAATAATAGGCTTCACCCTTTTTGGCAATACGGTACTGTTTGACTTTTGTTGTTGTCTACTGGACATCTGTGAAGAAGAGCGTTATACCTCATCAGATTCCTCCAGTATAAATAAGTATTCTGATTCTAACGCTGGTGAGACGAGGCCATAAAGAAGGCTGGCTCTGGTGTAGGCCAGTCAGTAAAAAATAAACAATGCATATTATCAGAGCGTATTTGTTTGGATTGCAGACTTTTGATGCCCTTGCATTAGTTATCTATCTTTGTTGTTGAACGATATACGATGTGTGGAAAAAGAGAAACGATTTATAGGAAAGGAAAGAATGGCAAATGAGCAGCGAAAGGATGGGAAAGCAACGGGGGAGGGGGGAGGGCAAAACGGTGAGAAAAGGTGATGATCGGGATGAAGATCCCTGACGCAGCTGCACGGACCAGCGGCGTCGGTGTTCACGGGATGGCCGGTGGGGGGAGAGGCGAGGCATTCCTTAAACAATTTGTTATTAAATCCTTAATATTAAGTTCACTTGCTTGCTTGCTTAGGACCGTGAAAATCTTTCGGTCGTTTTTTAACCCACTTCCCGTTATCCAATCGAGCTGACATTTTGCACACAGACTCGTTGTACGTGACAATGAATTTTCGTGAAAAAAATGTTCAAAAATGTTTCACTGTTTAGGGAAAATTTTTTAAATATTTATTTACCAATTGGTTAATGCTGGCACACAATCATCTGACCCATAGGTGGCAGCCATCTCAAGCCAGAGGACGAGAGGACTCTAGCCGCCCCGATGCCACGCATATAAAGGATTTATAGTGAAAAACTTTTTTTTTACGGGTTAATTTTCTTTACCAGGGATGGCTCCACTGAGCTACTTAGCTTTTTTATCAGAAGCGGCCTAGCCATCGCAAATGCTAGCTCGACGAAGTGGCTCATCATCGCGTGGAGATGTGTAGCAACCAAATACTCAACGAGTGACGTTGATTCTAAACATGGAGAGAACAACCGGAGGACCCGGAGAAAAGTCCAGGCGGCCACGGGGAGAACACGCAAACTTCAAATATACAGTGGGTGTCGAGATCTAATCTATGACCTCCTGCATACCAGACGCGGCGGTTAACATCTTCGCCCCCGTGGCGCATTCAGAGTGGGGTTGGCCCCACAGGAGCCCTCTGATTATGCGGGAGCTGTTATGTATAAGAATCGGGTGTAGAGATCATAACGCACGTGTTATTTGTTTAACCCCCTTTTAGCCGCCGTGTTTGTGTTTTTCCCGTGCAAGTATTTTGCCGGGCGATATTTTGTGATCTGGAAATAATTGTAAGCGTGAGCGCCGGCAATCGCGGTCTTTAATAATAATAAAAATAATCGGGCCAGAAGGTAAAACGCACTATGCACTCTGGTCACGGAAGCCACCCCCATTGTCCATAATAGAGGTTTATGGGTTAGATCCCGTAAATATAAATGTGTCGTTAAACCCGCTGCCACCCGACACAACCAAATTAGTAAGGTTTGCCACGTAAATAAAACATGCCAATTCGTTACTAGTTCAGCACACCGGTGTGTTGGAGAGTAAACTCACAACATTGGAGATGTAATTGGCTGTGTCGGATGGTGGCGGGTTTAACGACACTTTATATTTACGCGATCTAACCAAAAAAAAAAGCTTTACTATGGATGATTTTTGCCGCGAAAGTCTACCGGGTGTTGAACTCGCCTCCGTTGTGGTCACACTGCCCTGTGCTCCAACCCACCCACCCCATTTCGTGTGCGCAGGTGCCTGGTGCACATTCTACGTGGCACTTCGGTTCGCCACCTCAAGATCCGGCCGCTGCACGAGATGTGCCAGTTTGACCTGTGCCGGCACGAGACGCGCTTTGGCTGCAACCGGCAGGACAGCTGCTACTTTGCGCACGACATCATCGAGCTCAAGATTTGGGTTCTGCAGAGCAAGAACGGTGGGTGTGGCCCGCAAGAGGGAGGGACGTCCGTGGCGCACCGCCGGACTGACAACGAAGTTTCTGTACCATTGGAACCTCATTTGCCAGTAGAAAAATATGATAATTGGTGTTTTACCTTCTTCTTGGTTCTTTCGGTAAAGTCACGTAGAATGGAAATAATAAAATAATAAAAATAAACATTTTAAAATAATTCTCACGACGTTTCGGCCACAACGCAAGCAGCCGTCCTCAGGTGGAGAACAGGTCTGTCGAGAAGACAGTCTGAATGAAACACCACCACGCTTGGAGCCTCTATTTAAGCTGGGATGGAGGGGGGAAGAGCGTCTTGGCAAAATAATTTGCATATCAATAGGAATTTTGCATATTTATGGGAAATGCATCTGGCAACAAAACTGACACCTTCAACTTCAAGGACAGTGCATACATTATCAGAGTTACGTTTTTTGTTTGCATTATGACTGCAGGTATTGCGGTCTATGCAAACATGACTCCTCGTAAAAAGGGTGTCAGTTTTGTTGCCAGATAAAAGGGTAAAAAACCAATTATCGAAATTTCTGTAGTTTGTAGGGCACGCGACGGGTTCGTGCCCGGTGCGGTTCGATCGGCTGTCGTGGATTGTCCAAATTTAAAAACTGCCCGCGAATTACTGACTTGGTCTCACGCTTCAGCAGTCGTCAATCAGAATCGGAATCTTCATTTACACTGGAGGAGGAATCCGATGAGCTGTGAAGCTCTTTCTCATGGGTGACCAGTCGGGTCACGGGGCTGAAGAAAGTTACAACAACAAACCCTTAACCCCCTCTACTCCCCCCTTGGCAAACTGATGGTCCAAATCGCTCTTTGCCAAAATCCTCCTCCTTAATGGAGGTGTTTTGGGTTAGATCGCGTAAATATAAATGTGTCGTTAAACCCGCCACCACCCGACACAGCCAATTAGTAAGGTTTGTCACATAAACAGAACGTGGCCAATTCGTTACTAGTTCAGCACACCAGTGTATTGGAGAGCAAAGACGGAACATTCATCTTTTTCACAATATTTAGAATGGGAGTACGACGTTTCGCCAGTAATTCCAACTAGCTTCATCAGTCTGTCGCCAAATGAAAACCTATTTAACGGATGATATTGGTCGCGAAAGCCTATGTGTTAAACTGAATACTATAATCCTGGTTTATTGAGTTGTCACGTGGTAAAAAACACATTCCTGCGGAGGGAGCTGGTAGGAACGTTGGGTTGCTCGGTCAATGGCCAGGGTCAACGGCAGCGTGGTGTATTCCACAAATATGGCCGACTGTGAGGGCGGGCACAAGCCGGCGTGAGTAGGTTAAACGTTGAGTTTTATACGGCACCACGGGGTGACCAGCCCTTCCCCACCCAGCCCCACTCCTCCCACCCCCCACCCAGCCCCTCCCTCCCCACCCAGCCCCTCCCCTCCCCACCCAAACCCTCCCCACCAAGCCCCTCCCTACCCTCCCCTCTCCACCCAGCCCCACCCCTCCCATTTTTGGATTGCACGATGGACGGACAGACAGAATAATCCCCTGTGGGCTGGTGTAACCAGGAGGTTCCTACCAGTAAAAAGTATGAAACTTGTAGTTAATTGGACATTATGTTCCTGCACAGAAGCCGTCATTGTTCTGCATCGTCATCGTGAAGCCGTGGTTTGATTTGCCCACAGGTTTGAGTCAAGAGGACATCACTCAGGAGTCAAAACGATACCTGCAGTCGCTCGACTCGCCAGGACCCAATGCAGGCAACCAGGTAAGCAGCATGTGGACAAGCAGGGGTTGCCACGGTGGCTAGGAGATGTTAACTACCTCGCCTCGTATGCAGGAGGTCGTGAGTTCCATCCCAACCGTGACGCCTGTATATTTGGAGTTTGCGTGTCCCTCTCCCCATGGTCACGTGTATTTTTCTACGGGTCCTCCGGTTTTTCCCTCCCCGTTCATCAACACGCGTTTGGAGTATTTGGCCGCTATACATTTCCACGTGACGATAAGCCGCCACTTGGTTGTGCGATCAATTGTGACCAGGTCACTTCTGAAAAGAGCTACATAAGCTCCGGGCGGCTTACCTGGTAAAATTAAAAAAAAGTTTATAGTTTAAAGATTATGTTTTTTTTTGGCTACGCTCTCCTTGTGAAGCCATGCTAGAGCTCCGCTTGACCACGTTGGCCTGTGTGCTGTTCTGTTCTGTCTTTCCAGGGCATGTCTAAGCCCCCTGTGTCCACAAAGCTGCAACTCAAGCTGAAGTTTGTGTGCAGCCAGTGCTGGAAGAATGGCCAGGTCTCGGAGGCAGACCGTAACCTGAGATATTGCGAAGCCAAAGCACGGCACAGGTGACGAGCGTCGTCGTCGTTTGTTTGGTGTCTCGTTCATTGCTGCGATTTGTGCGCTTGTTTTTTCTAACAGCAAGCCACTTGGCCCGTGTGGATCGATGCATTTTGCAAGTGTGTTATAGGCTGATGGGGGGGCTACCTTTTCAGCAGAGTGTTCATCCATTAGAATCAATTTTTATACTGCACTATGCTCCAGTCTCTATGCTGCCCTCCTTCCAACCAACCCGCGGCTGGCAAGTTTGGTAGCGAATGACGGAATAACCACCTCATTTGCCAGTAAAAAATATGATAATTGTTTTTTTACCCTTTTATCTGGCAACAAAACTGACACCTTTTTTTACGAGGAGTCATGTTTGCATAGACCACAATACCTGCAGTCATAATGCAAAAAAAAACATAAACAAAAAAACATCACGTAACTTTGATAATGTATGCACTGTGAACAGTGCATACATTATCAGAGTTATGTTTTTTGTTTGCATTACGACTGCAGGTATTGTGGTCTATGCAAAACATGACTCCTCGTAAAATAAGGTGTCAGTTTTGTTGCCAGATTAAAGACAGAATAACCGTCATGAAATGGCGCACGGTGTGGCGAGGCTTGTCATTCGACAGTGAATTGACAACAGGGCTGCACATGTGGCCATTTAAACTCGCCTATTTGTCAATTGTTGCCCCAGCCACCGTGCTGCTTCGGAGATGGTGTGGAGTGAATGTGGGAGGCTCTGGGGACGAGAGGGGGGGCCTGGTCAGGTCGGTTCTGAAAAATAAGCGAATAGCTCGGTGGGCTTTACCTATTGGAACCTCATTTGCCAGAAGAAAAAATATGATAATTGTTTTTTACCCTTTTATCTGGCAACAAAACTGATACCTTTTTTTTTACAAGGAGTCATGTTTGCATAGACCACAATACCTGCAGTCGTAATGCAAACAAAAAACACAACTCTGATAATGTGAGACTAGGCTCTAAGGAAAGCTGTCTCGGGTGTGGACCAATCAACTTCAAGGACAGTGCATACATTATCAGAGTTGTGTTTTTTGTTTGCATTACGACTTCAGGTATTGTGGTCTATGCAAACATGACTCCTTGTAAAAAATGGTGTCACTTTTGTTGCCAGATAAAAGGGTAAAAAAACAATTATCGGGCTTTACCTAGTAAAATAAAATAGTTTGGTTCTGTATATTTTTCTAGTGATTTTTGCTTACCTTTCCCGTACTTGGCACTTCTGCCGTGTTCTTGTTATTGTTTGTTTCTGGTGGTGGGATAAATTGAGAACCTTACCCGTGTATCGATAGTTCAATTTGAAAGTGCAATTTTATTGGGGGGGGACTGTGTGTTGTTGTCTTGCTGTGGTCGGGACTGTTGTTGTTTTTTTGCCGCCTTGCCCAAGCTTGCATTTACATTGAAAAATCGCCAGGAATTGATTTACTTTTGCAATTTGGACTTGTATACTTAATTTTTATTTTTAAAATGTTCGTGACTCTTCTTCTTGGTTCTTTCGGTAAAGTCACGTAGAATGGAAGTAATAAAATAATAAAAATAAAACATAATTAAATAATTCTCACGACGTTTCGGCCACAACACAAGCAGCCGTCCTCAGGTGAAGACCAGGTCTGTCGAGGCGACCAGGTCTGTCGACGCTGTCTCCCCGACAGACCTGTTCTTCACCTAAGGACGGCTGCTTGTGTTGTGGCCGCAACGTCGTGAGAATTATTTTATTATGTTTTATTTTTATTATTTTATTACTTCCCTTCTACGTGACTTTACCGAAAGAACCAAGAAGATGAATCCCTGCAGTCACGAAAGCTTTAAATAGAAGTTCGTGACTCTCTTACCTCTCCTGTACTTTGCACTGCTGTCGGCTCTTGTATTGTTTGGTTGTAACTTCCTGGACCCCCCCCGGTGCCCCCTACTGGACATCTGTGACAAAAGAGCTTCTTCATAGCTCATCGGATTCCTCCTCCTGCAGTGTATAAAAACAAATGTTGTGATCCTGTGTGAACTGTGACTCGCCCAGCTGGACGAAGGATCGCAGGGCGCTGCTGGCGATGTCCCCGCAGCGCAAGAAGTGGATCTCCGTGCGAGCGCCGCCCTCCATGCGTGTCGCCCCAACACACTACGAGGTTTGTTGGACGTGCGCACGCAGCGCGGGAGGAGGGCGTTAACGCGTTGGATCGGAGAACGTGCGCGCGGTTTCACGACGTCGCCGGGTGGACTTGGGGCAAGAGGCATGCCGTCACTCAGTGGTGGGATGGTGGGGCCATGGTGGTGGTCAAGAATGACTGGGAGGGGCAACTGAGGAATGACACGCGCCCCAGAGTGGACGTGCCCCCCGCCAGAGGTCGCAAACGGGTTTTGATTCTTTACCCGTACCCGGCCGCACCAGGGTCACAAACGGGTACCCGTACCCGGCCGTACCCGTACTTGCCTGGAGATCAGATGCTGAGAAATGTGTGAATTGTGCCCCCCCCCCTTCCCCCCCTCCGTGCGTTGCTCTGGGCGCAGGTCTGTGCGCACGTGCTCAATGGGAAAAAGTGCTTCTACATTGGCAACTGCAACTTTGCGCACAGCGAGGAAGAGCGCGAGGTGTGGATGTACATGAAGAGCAACTGCCGTGAGTCACCTCGCTCTCAACGAGAGACGCACGCTCGCGCGCGCATCTCTCTCTTGAGGAAGCATCCGGGGCGTACCGTATGACTATCCGTAGCGAATGCCGACACGGTGCGTTCACCCAGAGAAGACTTAACTCCATTGGTACCTCATTTGCCAGTAAAAAATATGATAGTTGGTTTTTTACCCTTTTATCTGGCAACAAAACTGACACCTTTTTTACGTAAAAAAGGTGTCCGTTTTGCATATGCAGTCAGTTTTGCATATGCAAACATGACTGCATATGCAAACATGACTCCTCGTAAAAAAGGTGTCAGTTTTGTTGCCAGATAAAAGGGTAAAAAACCAATGATCAAGACTTAACTCGGTCTCATGACCCTTTATCCAGAGGGTCGTCCGTGCATTGCCGCGTTCTTATTTCTTTATTGTCACGGTGGGAATATTTATTGACATTGGAGGAATCCGATGAGCTGTTAAGCTGTTATTGCGCAGATTGCACATTTATATTTACGTGGTCTAACCCAAAAACCTCTGTTGAGATGACAGTTTCTTCGGCTTTTAGCTAACTTGGCACGAGCCTGCCGTGAGCCTTCGGATCTCTCCAATCTCCAAGGCTTATCGTGCACACGCTCTGTCCTTTATTGCAATAAGTTATTAAACAGTGATTGCGAGAGATGATACGGTATTATCGTCATGTCAATTACTCCGGCAAACAGAAAAGCGTTGTTTGAATAGATAATAGCTGTTTGAAGAGTAAAATTATTTTAGAGATCAAAAGTGACCGACAAAAATCACAATTGAACGACATTTAGCAAAAAGGACGATAGCATTATCATGGATCCTTAAAATCGTACGATGTATCTTAGTTCCAGCGTTTGGCGGCAGCTCTGGTCAGTCGACAGGGCAATTAATCGGCCAGTGAACTGGTCAATCATCCAGGCAGTTAGCCAGTGAACTAGTGGACAAGTCGGTCAACAATGCAATTAATCAGCCAGTGAACCGGTCAATCATACAGGCAGTTAGCCAGTGAACTAGTGGACAAGTCAGTCAACAGGGCAATTAATCGGCCAGTGAATCGGTCAGTCATCCAGGCAATTAGCCAGTGAGCCAGTGGGCCAGTCGATCGATCGGCGGGCAACGAATCGGCCAGTGTGAACCAGCGAGTTTTCCCGAAACAACGGACGCGTCTCGGTTTGCGTGCCTGCCGTGTCAGTGACCGACATTGACGAGGTGTACAAGATGTGGCTGGAGGGAAACCGCACGCCGGCCAAGGACCCCGAGGATGGAACTTCGCCCGCCGGCAAGGAGAGCAGCTCCCGCATCTGCATGCCCACGGACTATGCCGAGGTGAACGCCGCACGTTCTCTCCCGCGATCGCGCGTTCGTGTCTGAACTCCGCCGAGACTCGGCCTGTTGGCCCATCGGGCGGGGTTAATCTCCGTGACCTCTGTGTGCGTGACATCGCGCAGAACTCGGGCAAGTACTGCAGCCTCTGCGGGCGCAACTGCAACAGCGACAAGCAGTGGAGGCAGCACATGTCGTCGGAGAAGCACCGCGAGAAGGTGTTCGAGGACGAGCAGCGCTGGAAGTTCCGATTCCCCACCGGACAGTTCGCTATCTGCGAGAGGTGGTACGTGTCGAACAACGGGGATGGACGGGTGGGCTGGATTGGGGCGGTGCCGGACATGACGGCTAGGCCAGGGGGGGTCGGCCCCCGCGACCTGCGCGTGCGGCTCTTTATAAAAGGGGGGGCGGGGGGGGGCGGGGGGGGGGGCCCCGCTTCAAGGCGTTATTCGCGCGTGCGTTGCGGCTCTTGAAATGTGGAGTCTGTTACCGATATCGGGGGAGTAAACGGCTTCTCTGATTGTTGTCGTTGTTTTGGTTGCCGGGACCCCTGGGATAGACGGGGCAGGTGGGGAGATTGCGAGACGGATGGGTGCGCAGATGGACAGACAGATTGGCGGCGAGGCGGATGGCTGTACAGGCAAGACAGTAAGGCAGACATACGGCTAAATGGCGAGACAAATGGCTAGACGAACAGGCAGACGTGCAGATAAGGCAGGTGGCGAGATGGACAATTCCTCTCCGTTTGTTTAGGTGTAACCGCTCGCATGTCAGTTGCAAAAATTAGGAGCAAATGACTTTTACACGTGTGATACAAAGCATGTTTTGTTAGCGCGGCATCTCGCTTTCGGCAGAGGAATCGATGCTTCACTATGAGACCTCCTTTACCAGTGGCAAAATATAGTGGTAGGTTTTTACCCTTTAAAACTGGTACAAACTGACACCTTTATACAAGGCATCATGTTTGCAATAACCACAACACAAGCAGTCAAAATGCAAGCAAAAAGAAACAGTGCATATCATTATCAGAGTTCTTTTCTTTTTATTAAATCCTTTATATTAAGTTCGCTTGCTTGCTTAGGACCGTGCAAATCTTTCAGTCGTTTTTTAACCCACTTCCCGTGATCCAATCGACCTGACATTTTCCACACAGACTCGTTGTGCGTGACAATTAATGTTCGTGGACATTTTTTTCCAAAATTTTACACTTTTTAGGACAAAAATATTATATTTAATTACCAATTGCTTAATGGTGCAATGCAATCATCTGACCCATAGGTGGCAGCCATCTCAAGCCAGAGGACGAGAGGACTCTAGCCGCCACGCATATAAAGGATTTATAATGAAAAACTTTGTTTTTACGGGTTATACTTATTTGCATTTTGACTGCTTGTGTTGTGGTTATTTCAAACATGATGCCTTGTATAAAGGTGTCAGTTTTGTACCAGTTTAAAGGGTAAGAACCTACTACTATGAATCGATGCTTCGTTCACGTGCCCTCCTTTAGAACCATTTCAGCTTCAGACCGGGTCCAAGAGAGAGGGTTTTCTTAGGGGCACCTTTGCCAGGCGTGTCACATTCTGACGCAGCGTTTCTGTTTTTCTCCGGCAGGCTCGGCGGTGCCGGCGGCTGCAAAGACGACGGTTGCGCGTACGCGCACGGTGACAAGGAACTTGACGAGTGGATTGAGCGTCGCGATGTGATCCGCGCTAAACTGGACGAGGCTCGCCAGCAGGGGCTCTTGCCCCTGAACGAAAGCAACTTTGGGAAGTACACCTGTCTCATTAAATAGACCTCCTGTCCCTGTCGCAAACAGTGGTACACTTAATGTTGCTATTTGCTAATGTATGGTTCGATAACAAAAGCGGAAGTAAAAAAAAATTTAAGCAAAAAAAAATGTTAAACTATTAACTGACTTAAAAGTTGAGACGAAACACGTTTGGGTGAATTGCAAACTTCACGGAGACGAACGAGAAAAACCCGCGTTGGTGTCGGGGGACGTCCGGCGGCGATCGCGACGCGCTCGCGTCGTGCAGGAGCAGCCCCCCTCCGTGTCACCGGCAATTCTCTCGGCGCTGGAGAAACGGGGGAACCACGAGGGCGGGCGAGCGGGCGGGCGGGCGAGCGGGCGGGCAGGCGAGCGGTGGGTGGGGTGGAAGGCGGCGTAAAAAAAAACACCAAAGCCGCCACCCGGTTTCCCACGCCTGTTGGCAGGCGCGTACGTGTCCCATCTGCGAAACCGGTGGACGGGTTCCGGGTTTCTCGCCGGCTTGCGTTGGCAAAAGGCCCCGGGGCCCGCCGATGATGGCGTGGCGCTTTGTCGCGCGGTGGCCCCTGCCGCTCCGTATTCTGGCGGACAGCTTTGATGTCCTTAAACGTGAGAAAAGCCACACCAGGAAATTGCGGAAGGTTGCCGGAAGGGGGAGGGGGGGGGGAAACCCTGTTGATTAACTTGAGGGGTTGGTGTTCGCTGGCCAATGTAACCCCATTGCTACGTGGTGGTGATGGCACCACAACTATTGGCAGTGTTATTCTTTTCCAACCGAGGTGGTCGTTATTGTTGTTGGTGGTGATGATGATATTGGTGGTGGTGGTGGTGGCGCGTCTGATTAGTTTAATTTTCAGATAACAAGAAAAAAAATCATTACGTAAGCAGACATTTTTCACATATGTTTTGTTCCAGTTTTATTTCTGAATCCCAGTTGGGACTCCAGCCCACGAAGGGAATTGAAACTGGGTTATTACAGTGGTTCTGCAGGGCAGTTGCGCAATGAGTCCGTTATTGAGCACCGTTTTTGCTCATAAAAAAATAAATATAATAATATTAAAAAAATATTTTGACTTCAGGTGACTAATCAGTTGGAATTGTGGTGGTTAAGGTTCGGAACGGCGATGGCACGGGCGCTGTGTCGATGGTGGTCGTTAAACTGGCAAGTTTTTTGCGCGAAAGGTTTATTGTCGGGCTCTGCTGTCGTGTTTGAAAGATTACCGCTAGAGCAAAGTGCAGGGAATTATATGCGTTGACATATATATGCACGTTCCGCTTGCTCGTGACACCAGTCGGACAAGCAGAAGGAGGAGAAAAGCCGCCTTTGTCGATGGGGCAGTTTGGAATAATAAGAAGGCTGCGGTCGATGAGTAAAGAAAAAAGAGAGAGAGCTGGCATTCGGATGAAATGCCTGGCACCACACGCTGCTTTGGTGGGCAGTAGTCGACAGGCCTCTAGCCTAGGTGGGGTGGGGGGCGGGGGGGGCCACTCCACTCTGATGTCACCGGAAGAAAAAAAAATTGTCAGGTCTCTTGGGAGGGGATCTATTTTTGTTTAAATCTGAACAACTGTTGATGTTGATATCTCGTAATGTGGATTATCAGCAATGTACGTACTGTCAGCTTTATCCTAACTTGGCTATGGGGGGGTGGGGGGGCAGAAAAAGAAATCCCCATCACTCATTTCGCTCGGGCGTTCATTCACGTGTCTACCGAGCTGTGAGGTGCATTACGAGGGTTCGTTGCTGGTAGTCTGGGTTGTTGTTGTCGTCGTCCTCATTGTTAAGGTGTTTTTATTTCCACCTATATTGTGTATTGGGGGTGCATCAGCTTTATGGGCCGTGGGTGTCTAGCGGCAACGGTGGAGCATATTGGCCCACGTGCCGACGACGATGTTCTCTGTACGCACGGCATGACGCGTGCGTGTTGTTAGCGTAAGAAATACGCGTGCAGTTCAGTATTTCTGACAAGGTTACAACATCTTTTTCTTCCCGTGCCGTGGTGTGGGTTTATTTTAAATTATGAAAATTTTTGTTGCATAATTGTAATAAGTTTGTGACAGGTTTGGAAGGATCATATGTCAAATTTGTCAGCATTTGAAATTGTTACCATGAGACCACTGATTTCACGTAACTGACAAGTTCATATGAACGTGCACTTAAATGTATAAATCTGATTTGCATCAAAATACACATCGATATGAGGAAACCATGTTAGGCACTGTGGGTGGTTTGTGAAGAGCCATTATTTTTTGTGGTTAATATCCACGAATATACATTTTTAAGTTGGGGGTTTTGATCAAACTTTTAATTAAAACCCTCTACATTTCTGGGTTTCTTCTGCTTATCCTTAACATTGTTGTTTTGGTGTAAGTGCCGGAGAAGCAACGTACAGATGGGGGCGACACAATATTCTGTCGAAGGTTAAAAAAAAGTCTAAAATCATTAAAAAAAAAAATATGGGATGGCGGATGTTGCATATTTTTTATTCCTGTTTTTTTTCATGCTTGTAAATTTTACTGGTAACATCGCATTAAAACGTTTGTTCCATTTACTCAGTCGACGCATTGCTTCACTTTTGCACGATAATTGCAATAACGAAACGCTCCCGTCTTCAAAGCGTAACGGACGAACGCGTAAACCTGATCCACACACCCATTCGTCGTTGGGAGGCGATTGCGTTGACGCTCGCTGGCGTATTGCGTGCCCCGCCGTATTTGTGTGCAGGTGTCGCTGGGAGCTTGGCACAGTCCATGCGCATTGTTCTGCCGAGCTGTGTGCAAAGCCGGCTCCGCACCCGAGAGAGGATCGGTCGCGCAACTTTGTTGCGAGCAACTGGAATCGTTTGTGCGCGCACGCACTTGACAACCAATTGCGATCGGTTGTCCAGCCACTTTATTGCGGTAGCGACGGACGCTCTGCCGCATTGTAACCCTGGAACCACAACCGTTGAAAACTCCCAGATGTGGACAAAGCGGCCTGCGAGTAAGTTGCGCTCTCCACGGCTGTGCAGCCGATCGCCGAGTGGGTGTGGACCCACCTGGTTTCGGGTGTCTAACACCAAGTGCCTTTTTTTAGTTTGCTCCTTTCATTCGATGCTTTTCAGGCTCCGCCTACGCTGTGCTCGGGTTGGCCTCCTGCAGCGGTGGCGGCTAGGAAACTGCCCTCCCCTCTGCTATGGCAAGGCCCGTTCTGCACCCATGTCTTGACCCCCCCACGCGCCTTACTCGGGGCCAACCGTGATGCTCCTCGCAGCGACATGCGATGAGTTTCTACAACAATATTTCTTTCCAACGTTGAACGGGCCCACATCGTTTGGATAGCCCCATGCCCAGGGGTCGCAATCGGATACCCGTACCCTACCCGATACCCGGCTATCCGTACCCGGCCGGGTATGGGTACGGGTACCCGTTTGCGACCCTGGTGCGGCCGGGTACGGGTACGGGTAGGCCGTGAGTCACTGGTGAGTCACCGTTTGTCACTCATTTCCCAACGTCTCGTCTCCTCACAATTCAAGTTCCTAGAATCAACCCACCCGCGCCTGCAACATGGCTTCATCCCAGAGGTCGCAATCAAGTACCTGCACCCTACCCGATACCCGGCCGGGTATGGGTATCGGGTAGGGTACGGGTACCCGATTGCGACCCTGGTGCGGCCGGGTACGGGTAAGGAATCAAAACCCGTTTGCGACCTCTGCCCGTGCCCTTGCCAATCACGGCTGGCAATCCGGCGACAGTTGTTTAATGAGACTGACCACTTCTCAAGACTCGCGAGGCAAAATCAGGGCCAGAGTTTGCCGAAACGAATGCTTCTGGATAATGTTGGCCTGGGAAAAAACAAACACGCCATCGGTCAGAAAATATTTCACGTGGAAACACTGAACGGAGGGAGGTCTGTTTTTATTTCTATATTATTTACCCATGAGCCCCTCCACAGCAATGCGCAATGGGTTTGTATAACACAAGGCCAGAACAAGCGCAGTGGCAAAGAGAATCGGTTTAACATTGCTCGGTGCGTAACGACTCATCGGTTTAACTCATTTCCCACACTCAGGACATGCATTTGGTATCCTGATTGTGTAAGGATCAATTTGTTGACGTTTCCAATAGGCCACAGTGGTTTTGAGAGTGATGCCCCGTACATTCCGCCCTCGTTTTTCGCGAGCGATACGTTCCCGAGATGCTCGTGAATGCCAAACCTTGGGGACGACGATATTGGCTTCGCGAAGATCGTACGCAACTAACGTCTGCAGATGCTTCGGAGAGCTTTGAGAAGTTCTCCCGGTCTCTCCTCGGCAATTTATCTCATCAATTCCTCACTCTCACCAGCGGTCCGTCGACCGCTGGTGAGAGTGAGGCATCACCACACAAGGCGGGAGATGCGTTCAGTAACATCCCGGCAGCTTTCCAATGTACAGCATCGTACCTCGTACGCTGCTGCGTTTGCCTGCCGCGCGAAATGTAAAATATTTAAACATTTTGTCATCGATATCGCCATCGTAAGATCGAAATATCGTAGGTCGGGATGTTGATTTTAAGTGTGGAAGGGAAAACCGGAGGACCCGGGGGAAAATCCACTGCGGCCGCGGGGAGAACACGCAACACCCCAAATATGCAGCAGCAGGCGTCAGGGTCGGGATTAAACCCACGACCTCCTGTACACCAGGCGAGGTAGTTAACATCTCGCCACCGTGGCGCCTTATGACAGGCTTCTCCCCCCCCCCCCCTGGAAGATGCAGCTGTGCTCGTGGCTGCTGCAGCTGTTCCAGCGCAACATGTTTGCCGCATGGCTGAAACACATTCCTGCGGAGGGAGCTGGTAGGAACGTTGGGTTGCTCGGTCAACGGCGGCGTGGTGTATTCCGCAAATATGCCCGACTGTGAGGGCGGGCACAAGCCGGCGTTAGTAGGTTAAACGTTGAGTTTTATAAGGGCACCACGGGGTGACCAGCCCCTCCCTACCCAGCCCTACCCTCCCCACCCAGCCCCTCTCCACTCAGCCCCTCCCTGCACGACGGACGGACACAATAATCCCCTGTGGGCTGGTGGAACCAGTGGGTTCCTACCAATATAATGTCGTATGGCACGTGTGTAAGTATAGTTATCTCACGTCCTACACTCCTCTCAACATTCTTAATAATAATTATGCGGGCCTTTAAAAAAAGGTAACAACAGGAGAAATGGCCTTAATTCATGTGCTATGAATAAGAGCCATGCCTAAAATTCCACCCATTGTACCTACATATATGATTGTAAGGCCACAGTGTCATTGACGAATATATTCTTGTTTTTTTGTTGTTCTTCTGCACCACTGCCAATGCAATATCATCGAACAATTCCCTTGCACTACATCAAGCTGGCTCTGCAAGTTACCCGGTAAACAATTTGGTAACGTGTCCTAAGCAGCGAGCCTGCGTGAACGGCCTAAGACTTTGCAGGGCTTTCCCGGACACTTATTATTATGAAGGGTCATTTTCACAGTTTGTGGAATTACAGCAAGACCGTAATTATAATATGTATTGGGGGCCGACACCCCCCCCCCCCCCAATATTCAAATATGCTCAAAATGTCCCCCCCCCCCCCAATATATTGCTATAAAATAGATTTCTGTTTGATTGTAGTTATGGTTGTACTATTAATCCCTAATCTCTGCCATTACATACAATGAAACAAGAAAATGTAAAAAAAACAGCAATGTAATACAATACTATTAGACATTGTAAAAAAAAGTCCATCCCATGTGTTAGTGAAATTTTTTTATTTTAGGCAGGAAATTCGTTTCCAAGGCACGGAGGCACCGTGTGGGTGACGTGGCGACACTGCGGCCCTTGTGGTGTGACAATGAACGTGTCGGTGGCCTCCACCCCCCCACCCCCCAGGTCCTGCTTGGCTCTGAGCCAGACTCCGATGTCTCACCTTGTTTGTGCATCTCCTCCGCATGCTGGGAGCTTCTCCGCGAACTGAATAAGGCTGCATATTCTTAGGTTTTTTCGGTAAAGTCACGTAGGTAAAAACATTAAAATTAATAAAAATAAAATAAAAATCACGACGTTTCGGAGGCAACACAAGCTTCCGTCTTCAGGTGGAACCGTCACAGCCACGACAGCTGTATCAAGTAAATGAGAGATTGCAGGAGCTACCACTCCGTATATATAATGGTTGGAGAAGGGGGGGGGGGTAAGGGCCAAATACAGCACACTTTTTATTAATATGGTAATGTGAGGCTCAAGAGGGTGAGCCTTTGTTATGGAGAGGTACGGTTTGTGACTCAACCTGTGACAAGGAGACAACCATAAGGCTGCTCGCAGCATGTGAAGCAGAGGTCGCAAACGGGTTTTGATTCCTTACCCGTACCCGGCCGCACCAGGGTACGGGTACCCGACCCGTACCCTACCCGAAATGAGTGACAAACGGTTACTCACCAGTGACTCACGGCCTACCTGTACCCGTACCCGGCCGCACCAGGGTCGCAAACTGCTACCCGTACCCGTACCCAGCCGGGTACGGGTAGCCGGGTATCGGGTAGGGTACGGGTATCGGGTACCCGGTTGCGACCTCTGATGTGAAGCTTTCGACGTCTTGCGTTTGGCCCCATGTGATGGGGAGTTCGTTGAGTTTTTTTTTGGTTCGAATTCTTCAGAAGCACCCCGACAAAACGCGGAGGGAGGGCTTAAGACGTCAAGACGTGCAGAACCACACGCGGTAACAACCCGTAGACGCGTCGGGTGCCATGGATGTATTATTTAAAAAGTGGTCTCGTAAATGTGTAGCCAATTCCACCACTTACCTCTTTGCTGCTGTCCGAAAAATAAAGAAAGAAACTACGACCAACTTCGGAAAATCCATCGGTGGGCGATGGTCGCACTCCACGAAACGTTCGCGTCCTTTGCTTTCCGGCCTCGTGGTTTCCCACGTGAGGCCGCGTGGCCGTCGATTTTCGTCGTCGCGTGCCGCGTGATTGAACGTCTCGTTCGCGACGGGGTCCCGGAGAAAGCGCGAGATTGAAATGTCCCGACGTCAAGGGCAGGTTTTTTTTTGTTTGGCCCCGTGAGAATCGGGGTGGGTGTGTGGGAGCGGCTACCGTGGGCTGTTTAACTCTTTATTTCCAAAAGGGTATCTGTCCATCTTCTTGGTTCTTTCGGTAAAGTCACGTAGAAGGAAAATAATAAAATAATAAAAAATAAAACATAATAAAATAATTCTCACGACGTTTCGGCCACAACGCAAGCAGCCGTCCTCAGCTGGAGAACAGGTCTGTCAAGTAACAGACCTGTTCTCTTCAGACTGTCTACTTGACAGACCTGTTCTCCACCTGAGGACGGCTGCTTGCGTTGTGGCCGAAACGTCGTGAGAATTGTATTTTATTATGTTTTATTTTTATTATTTAATTACTTTCCTTCTACGTGACTTTACCGAAAGAACCAAGAAGATGAATCCCTGCAGTCACGAAAGCTTTAAATCGAAAGGTATCTGTCCACTTTTTTTGCTTGGTCACTATTAGCTCGCATTTCTGGGGGCATGGTTCACAAGCTGATGCGCGGTGGTTTCGATGAGAC